TCCTTTTTTCTACGATTAAGACGAAACAAGCTGACAGCAGGCTTGATCGCGACCGAAACGTAAAGAAATTTGCTGGCTCAGTGGCGGAGTCGAACTCATAACATTCCTTTTGACAACAATGCATTCTCCATCGCGTCTCCTCCCTCGTTCCCTTCGAGTTTTTACTATTACTGTATTAATTAAGAACAATAATTGCCATTTTATGTAATAATTTCCGAAAGTCGTAGTAGCAAATACAAAGTATATTGAAAATTCCGATCAAGCAAATTGGCTTTTTGAACTGACAAGTAAAAATACAGTAGCACACAGAGTATCCTACGGAATAAAAATGAGCCAGAGTCCTTAACTGACCTTTTGACAGCTACTTTATCGCCAGTATCGAGCTTTTTCGCCAGTAATACTTCGCCAAAGGTACCGTCACCGAGACGCTTGGTCATCAAGTAGCGATCCGCTAATGTTTGACTCGTCGATGAGGCCATTAAATTTATTCGCTAATTAAGAATTCCTGTAATGCTAGCTTGTAACTGCTGGGAACAAACTGCTTGCTAACCCAAGCATAATGCCTCTGCAAACTTAATGACTGGAACAATCAGATAACAGATTTTGTCTGTCCAATTATAATTAGAGTAAGCCTGGATCACTTTATTAACAAAGCAGATTTTAACATGAGATAAGGGGCACATTTGATAATAAAACTGTTGAGATCGGAATTTGAAGAAAAATTATTTATTGACAAATAAATATACAGGTCAAATATATATATGTAGATATAATGTAGCGCCTTTTACGTGACTGAACAAGATGTATATGAAGTCTCTGCTAAATTATACAAAATGCATGTAAATTGCATGATTACAAACAAAATAGGGAAATTGGGATGGTAGGCCGATTTTAAGTTCACTGGCATGGGAAATGGCAGGGACGAGCTTCCAGTCCGGTGAACTAGCCGTTCAGTAAATAAATGAATGTTATTAAGAAATTGAGGAGATGTATGGCTGTCGAGATAAATGACAATGTATAGCTCAGGATCGAAGGATCTGACACTCCATTTCCACTACTGATCTCAACCTTTTTTTTTTAAAAATCGAGGCAACAGAATCATTTTAATTATCGTTAGTATTTGTTAAGAAATTTTCCGAATAGCCTGAGAAAAACCTGTCTAAAGACAACAAAATAACTGGTTAGCCTGAAATGAAAAATGAGCTGAATAATAGGTGTTTTTTCTAAAATCCACAGAGTTCAAGGGAAAAAGTAGTATTATTTCTCACACGTTCGGCAATGTAAACAGTTCAGCTTCCTGTTCCCAGTCGGGCGTTTTCGAGCAATTACAAGCTCAAAAGGAATATTTGGTGCAAAATGTGCGATGTATAACACATGTATTATAAGGCATAGTGAAACAAATTTCGAAATTTATTGTACCAAAACCATGTATGTATCTCTGTGCGTGTGTGTAGGTGTGTTTTGCATGTGTATGTGCTTATATTTGCATATGGATGTATGTGTGTGTTTGTGTGTGTCAGTATGTAGGTGCACTTGCATCTTTATGTGCGTGTATGTGCACACATGCATACTGAAGTAATTTTTTTCGAGAATCATAAAAAATAAGAAGCTGAAATGTTGAAAACAGCTGTGTTCGAGATTGACAGCAATTTCTGAAAGAAAACTCCCGAATTTCAACATCCGATCTTAAGTTCAGCAAATGTCATAAATTAAGAATCTGGGGCTTGAACGGCGCATGGTAGGAAGCCCAAAATTAACCTCAGTGTGTTTAACCTTGGAATAAAATTCAAACTAGTCAAAGAGATTTAAAAGTGGAAAGGTAAACGTTCAAATTTTTTGCCTGCTCAATTCACTGCCCAATATGATGAATAACTTGAAAACAGCTTTTGAATTCCATATTAGACACTACCAC